CCAGCATGGCACAGCCCAGCTCTGCACAGCACAGCCCAGCACGGCACAGCACAGCCCAGCACGGCACAGCACAGCCCAGCATGGCACAGCCCAGCTCTGCACAGCACAGCCCAGCTCTGCACAGCACAGCCCAGCATGGCACAGCCCAGCACGGCACAGCCCAGCACTGCACAGCCCAGCCCAGCACGGCCCGCCACAGCACAACACAGCCCAGCACGGCCCAGCACAGCACAGCACTGCACAGCACAGCACAGCACAGCACAGCACGGCTCAGCACAGCACGGCTCAGCACAGCATAGCATAGCACAGGACGGCTCAGCACAGCACAGCACAGCACAGCCCAGCACGGCACAGCCCAGCACAGCCCAGCACGGCTCAGCACAGCACAGCACAGCAGAGCATAGCACAGCCCGGCCCGGGAGTGCTTCGAGCTGGGCGCCAGCCCTTCCCCGCGGTCCAGCCGCCCTGCCCGCAGAGCCGGGTATGCCCCACCGCGCTCGGCAGCCCAAGCTCCGAAACGGGGCTGCTGAGGTGCGCGGGAAGTGGGGAGCCCTGGCCGGGAGACGCCTGTCCCTGCCCCGTGTGTCTTTAAAACAACAGCATCGCCAACATCCTAAAGCCCATTGACGGCTCCGCGTTACCGTAGGAGTCACCGCTAGTCTTGCCTCAGGGCAGCACCGGAGCGGCAGCTTCAGCGGCTGAGCGTGCAGGTGGTGGCAGTAGGAGGGAGAAGCCTTGTGAGAGCAGCACTGTCCGAGGATTGATCGCTCGCTGGAGTAGAAAAAGGACTAGAGGAGAACAAAAGGAAAATGCTAAGACCCACAGGGGTCTATCAGCCACGGGATGTATAGTTTGGCTATGAATTTATATGACTGGTTTTGTTGCAGGCAGCAGTATCTTCTTTCCCCAATGCAGAGACACCCACAGTAGCTGTTATATCCTCAGAAACTCTCCAAGGGCAAAAGCCAAAAGTGCAAAGGAACCCCCCCCCCCCCCCCCTTCCAAACAAGACCTGTGACTTCAAGTTGGTCAAAGACTGACAGTGCCTGGATGTCTTTCCCTGAACTCTGAGATCTAATCACCCTCCCACATCCACCATACCCCCACTGCTCAGCCTCAGAAGTACTAAGCCAACAGGCTGATGGATTCCAGAAATGGGTCCAAAATGTTATTCAGCCCTTTGAAATCCTTGTGCCATTCCTCATCACAACCTGCTAAGAGCAGAGTACCTTCTCAGTCGGAGGCTGGGGTCACTTATTGTGAGAAGGACGTTATTCCAAATGCTTTGAGCATACTTGGATGAGTGGATAGGGAAGGTTATCCTGCATGCAAGTGTTCTCTCATGGACAATTTTAGCTGAAAATTTCTAAGGGTGTGGAGGGAGCAGCAGGGAGTGGAGAGAGGGGAAGGAGTGAGAAAGAAACCATTTTTACCTCATGTCAAGCCTGCTGTCTCAGAGTAGAGAGAAGCATGGGATGTTTGTGCTGGTGAGCAAGAATTTACTGAGTGATGGATTGTGCCTTCTAGTCTCCCTCACCTTGAATTGGGGGTTGACATTTCGCAATAGGAGTTGGCATTTTGTAATAGAAAGTGGGAATATTAAGGTAATATTACTGATTGACATGTTTCGCCGTCTACAAGTGCCTGACCCAGTTTGCCTGAGCTGCTGATAAACGAACGCTACTTTTTGTGTGCTGTAGGCCACAGAAACTTCTGCCCTGCTCTGAAAAGACATGCTGTGACCTGGGTTGTGTGCACGAGCTAACTGCCCTCCCGACCCAGAAGTGCTGACACACGAGGAGAAACTTGTACAGCAACATGCTAGAAAGAGGCTGAGGTGTATGGGACAGCAGAAAGACACAGCATTCAGTGCTCACCAGGAGAACCATCATTCCCTTCTCTCTGGTCACTCCTGATGGCAGGCAAGGCCTGTATGAAAATGAACTTCACTGAGGCTCCATCCGCATATGATCTCCACTGTGCTCACTCCTTTTTTGGGTTAAATTCTCCATTATCAATAAAGATGTCTGAATAATTCTGTCAGAAATCAAGATCCCACGTGAAAGACCCTTACTGCTTCAATTTTTCAGTAAAGTACATTAAAAGCTCAAATTGCACGTATTTGTAGGACAGATCAGAATCAAGGCTGCCCTGTTTATCCTCTTTCTGCATTATTTCTTATGTCAGGATAACATGGTGTGCTGTTTTCTACTTGAAATAGGGTCCCAGAGTGAGTTGTATCTGGACAGTGAAGAAGTTGCTCTCTGTGAGAGCTCTGTCACTTTGGGTGCAGATATCAGAAGGCAAGTGTGAAACAGGGCCACAGAAAGGCAAAAAGACAGCTGCAGCAGGAGAGAACTGCTTTGCTGTTTGGAGCAGAGCAATCAGTAGAACAGTTTACTACTACAGCTGGGACTAAATTAAATCTTTTTCTTCCCTCATATATTCCCTAGATGTTATTGTATTGCTGTATGTACCCTACAACGACTGGTCTGGGGTTGTAGGAAAGTAAGAGCACTCAGAGCAGCTCTGTGTACCTTTGTTCCTCTGGTCTATACCATATCTCCCAGGAACAGGGGCACCACCTGTTAGTGGCAGCACACCAAGGACAGCAGTAGGATTTGTGTCGAAGGAGAATGGCCCTATCTGCCCTGCACCTTCTCATTCTTTCCTGAGAAATTTCCTCATTTCTGTGTCAATCCCTTTCTCCCGAGCATCACCCACTCTTTCTCACATCTCAGCACATCCTATAACCTATTTTGATCCTGGGTCTTGTTTACAGAAACTGGAAGCATAAGCCAGGTGTCATAAGGGCTTCTCAGCTAAGAAGTTTCTTGGTTTGTAGATACTTGTACTGAGGTATCAGTGGTCTCTGATGTGTGAGCGTATGTAAAATACACTAAACAGACCCAGCCATGCAACCTGTACACTAAAAAGTCCCTGCTAAAAAGAAAAAATAAAAAATTCATGCCTCGCACCCCCCTCCCCCCCAAAAAAGTTTATTTTCTCTCAAGGAGATAAAAACTTATAGGTGTGGGAAAGACAGTTTTCAGCGATAAAGTAGTTGGAAAAATGGATGTGAAACAACTTTGTTTTGGGAGAGGATTCTGTGTCCATAGCACTTTTCCAGTACTGAGCCCCTGTGACAGCAATTACAGGATCATCCAGGTTGTAAGAAACCTCTAGTCCGACCTCCTGTTCAAAGCAGAGTCAGCAATTGTGGTGTCCCACCCCTAAGGGGAAGGAAGCACCCGCAATTCATAGATACTCATGGCTGAAATAAATTACAAAAGTCAGGGAGTCCACAAAAGCTTACAAAGTTTTATTTATAAATTACACACTTGGCTTAGAAATTGATACATGTTAGTCCTGGACTTACTATATAAGTACATGGCCATGGGTTTTGGATAAGGGGTAGGGTGAAAGGGAACAGAGGGATGAATCGAAGAGGAGGAGGGAGAAAGAAAGGAAGAAAGTGAGAAAGAGAGATCAGCAGTCCTGGCTCCAGTGTTGATCCAGCTAATGGGATGTCCAGGATTCTGGCTGTGCCTGTGCATCCAGGTTTTGTGGAGGTGCCTTTTACAGGTAAATTTCCCCAACTTGGAGACAAATTTCTCACTTTCTGGGCAAATTAGTTATCCTGTACAGTCCATTCTCCTAGACCTTCCTGGAAATGGGTTGGAGGGCTTCAGGGATCTTTGGTGGTCTTGATCCCCTCCTACAGCCCCTGCCCACTTCTCAACCTCATTCCTGTGCTCACGCTGTGCTGTGTTGTGTTTATCTCCAGAAGCCAGAACAAGGAAGTTTGTCCCAGAAGTGTGCTGTCCTACCTCCATACAGCCCCTTCTCCAGCCACGTCCTGTTCTTTTTCACAGTGTGTTATCACCAACAATCCTTGGCTGTTATTACCAACAATCCATGGTTGGATCAACAGCTATTTGGCTACTGATGTTTGAGACATACACATTAGCCCCCTTATCTCCTAGGCTTCTTCAACACTGAAGTCAGACCACTTTGCTTGTGACTCAATCTGATCTTGAAAACCCTCAACAGCGGAGACTGCACAACTTTTCTGGGCAGTGGATTCTGCTGCTGGATTGGTCCTAGGATAGAGCCACAATACAGCCTTCAGACAGAGTACAACTCATTAAGCACAAGCCTCTGACCAAATTCAAAGTTGGATCAGTTGGCTACCCATTGAGACTATAATGTCCTAACTTAAATACAAGAACAGTGGGAGATGGAGTTGAAAATGTTGCTAAACTTTTGGTAAATGCAGTGAGGTAGGTTCACAGGTATGATTTATCCTTTGTAACCCATGCCGAATATTCTCAATTGCCTACTTCTTCTTCATGTGTTCAGAAATATCATCCAAGAGACCTTGTTTCATGTTTTCTTCCCAGAGACTGAAGTGAGACTGAACAGCTTGCAGTTGCCTGGGCTGTCCTTTAAGTTCTTTTTAAGTATAGGTGCAACATTTCTGCAGTTGGCAGGGGTATCCAATCAAAGATGATTGAAAGTGATCTTGTGCTGGCATTAGCCATCTCTGTCACCATCCTTGGACACAGGCCTTCTGTTTGCAGGATTTCTTCAGCAATTCCTAACTCACTCACTAATGGTCATCTTTCCTCTCTTTGAATCCCAGGCCGTCAGGCTTGGGAGCCCTTGCTGTGTAAAGAAGGCATTGAGTTCCTCAGGTTTGACTGTGTCCACTTTCAATAAATCACTCACCCTACTCAGTGACTGACTGCCATTTTCCTTGTTTAGTCCCTTACCACTATTCAGCAGTTGAAGTTCTTCTTGTTACTATTGA